GAATCATTATGATCATTTCAACAAATGCAGAAGTACCATCAATAAAATTCAACATTCATGACAAAAACTCTGAATAAACTAGGTATAAAAGGATCACATCTCAACCTAATGAAGGACATATGAGATGAAGCCATAACCAACATCACACTGAATAAGGAAAAAACTACCAGCCTTTCCTCGAAAATTAAAAACAAGTCAATGGTATCCATTCTCATCACTTTTACTCATTACGGTATTAGAAACTTTAGCTAGAGCAATCAGGCAAAAGAAAAGGGATGAATAGAAGAGTTGTATTATCCTTATTTGTAGATGATATGATTCTATACCTAGAAAACCCTTAAGAGTCTACCAAACATAGACTGGTGACAAATTAAAACTGATAAAGTTATTGAACTAACAGAATACAAAAACAACATATAAAAAAATCAGTGACTACTGTATACATTTACAACTTCACAACTTGATGACTTTTGTATTTTATTTTTCAAAATAAAAGCTGTGTATGTGAAGAAAAAAAAAACTCAATGACTTTCCTATATGCCTATAATGAAATTGCAGATAAAGGAATCAGGAAAAAATATTCTATTCACAAGTCTCAAAAACAAACAAACAAACAAAATCCTAGTAATATATCTGACGAAGGAGGTAAAAGATCTCTATAATGAAAAATATAAAACTGTTAAGAAATTGAAGACTACACTAAAAGATGGAAATAACGCCTTGTCATCATTTGGGAGTATACTGTTAAAATGGCCACACTACCCAAAGTAATCTAGGATCCTCATCAAAATACTGATGACATTCTTCACAGAACTAGAAATTTTGTCCTAAGATTCATATGGAAGTACAAAAGACCCAAAATGGCAAAAGAAATCCTGAGTAAAAAGAATAATAGGGAGGCATCAAAATACCTGATTTCAAAATATGTTACACAGTCACTATGGCAGAAACAGCAAGGTACTGGCATAAAAACAGATATGTAAATCAATGAAATAGAACAGAGGACCCAGGAATAAGCCTACATATCTAAAGCCACCTGATTCTTGACAAAAGTGCCAAAAATAGACTTTGGAAAAGATAGCCTCTTTTGACAAATGGTACGGGAAAACTGGGCATACACTTGTTAAAAAAAGATTGAAAATAGATCCCTTCTACCCTATATAAAAATCAACTCAAAAAGACCTTAATGTAAGACCTGAAACTACTACAGGAAAACATAGAACAAATACTTCAAGATTCAGTGAAGTTCTAAATAGGACTCCAGTTGTTCAGGAATTAATGGCAAGAACTGACAAGTGGGATTACGTCAAATTAAAAAGCTTCTTCACTGCAAAGGAAACGATCAACAAAGTGAAAAGACGGCCTACAGAATGTGAGAAAATCTTGCCAGCTATTCAGACATAGGCTTGATATCTGAAATATATGAAGAATTCAAAAAAGTTCCAAAGAACGGATAATCCAATCAACAAATAAGCATGTGAACTGAACAGATACTTCTCAAAAGAAAAACTAAATGGCCAATAAATACATGAAAAATGTCTTTAGCTAAAGGCGAATGCAAATCAAAACTACCCTGGGATTATTTCTTAACCCCAGTCAAAATGGCTATAATCAAGAAAATAAAAATAACAAATACTAGTGAGAATGCAAGGGGAAAAGGAACACTTATACACTATTGGTAGAAAAGTAAATTAATGCAGGCACTATGAAACACCATATGAAAGAGCCTCAAAAAACTAAAAATAGAACATATACATTCCAGCTATACCATTTCTGGGCATATACCCAAAGGAATTAAAGTCAGCATATAAAAAAGATACCTGCACACCCATGTTCAATGGAGCATTTTCACAATAATCAAGTCTGATGTCAACAGCTGTTGTTCCTACAAAATTGCTATTTCAACAGTTTCAACAACAACAACAAAAAGATCATTGTTTCCAAAATTTTTCAAAGGCAAAATGAATTTTTATAGATAACACTTTCATCATTTTCAGTATAAAAATTTTTAAATGGTGGATATATTTCCAAGCATACATCATCAAAATAATATCTACATATTACAAGTCTTTTTTGAAGTCATTTTGCCATTCATCATTAAAAATGGTTAAAAATTTGAATACAATTGAACACTGTGACAGATTAAAAGGTTCTAGTCTGGTACAAGAGAATATCAGGATTGTTACACTTTTTTTCTAAAAAAGAAAAACTTTACAAAGCCTCCTACTTCACATTCATAAGCACAGAAGCCTGCCAAATTTAAGAAATGCTTATTTCACTGTATGTTCCATAACTCTTTCAAGAACTTTGCTATAATAAAACCAAGGAACTTCTACATGAAAAGATTTTCTTGGTCCTTTCATCACTTAGAAGTTATAATCCCCCAATAGATATAAACTGCAAAATGCTGAAGCTAGAAGTATTGCTCTGTCAATCCTTCACTCCTCAGGATATATGAATTACCTTATACAGTATGTGACTATTTTAACATGGCTGAAACAAGATCGTCCCTATCAATCCAAATATTATATAAATAAAAATTCATTTGTTTTTTAAGATTGGAAATAAATTGAAGTTCCAATTGTTTTTTTCCACACTGTAATAAATGCCCCTCCCAAAACATCCATTTCAGAGATCTATGACCTATAGAATAAAGTTCTAGAAGACCAGAAGTTCCAGTTTCCTTTCTGGTCTTCTACAATCTGGCCCAAATCTACCTGTTTGGTTTCAAGTTCCTTCTGAAGTTCAGTTCCAGACAACACATTTACCCACTGTCATTTAAAATTGTCTTGTACTGTTCCACTCTTGAATTCTTCCACACACTATGGCTTCCAACAAGAATTTACTCCAACTTTCATTCTAGCCCATCTAAGCCCTATGTACCCCTTAGATTCTATTCAAATCTTATGGCTTCTATAAAGTTTTTCAGATAACATCTTGTCCACCCCTAAATTCATAATCCAGTCAATAAGAAACATTCAATTAATATGGATGGAGGACCTACCATACATCATCAGCACTGAAGACAAAATAATTTATAAACTCACTGCATTTATTATATATTTGCAGTGGTGGGAATTGAACCCAGGGCTTTGTGCAGCACTCTATCACTGAACTACATCCTCAGACCTCATGGCATATACTTATGTAAGGGGTTCTCACACATATTAACCAGCTGCATCAGAATTACCATGGGATTTTAGAAAACATATTCCCCAATGCTTACCCCAATTCTTGAATATTCTGTAAAATTTACAAGAAAATAACACTTAAGATAAAAATGGAATAAAGACAATAAATGTCTTTCTTGTTTTGTTTTACAGAGCTCTAAAACTTCTATCTTTCCATTTATTGTTATTTCCATCAGGAAGTATAAATAGGGAAATGTAGGAAAAAATACCTTAATAACAAGATTAGATGAATAAGAACATCTTAACACTGAGATTCTATTACCTGCCCATCCAATCATTCATTCAGACATTCATAAAGCATCTACTATGTACCAGGTTATTATTTAAACAGTGAACACCAAAAAAGATTTTCCCTCTATTTGCAAGTATAGTCTGATGGGAAAAACAATTCACCAAAGTAATAACCACAAGACATTATGATAAACATTGACAAAAATGTCATAAAAGAGGGCTACTGAAGTGGAGGTGAGTCCGTGCAGGGAATAAATATGCAAAATTATTGTTCAAAGAAAGCTTCCCAGACAGAGCAGCTTAACTGGGAAAGGTGTGTGTCACAGGAAATCTGAAAGAGAATGCCTGAAATGCACTCATGTTGGCAAGGATGAATATAAGCTACTAGTGGGGAAAGTAGTGATTGGTGAAACTGGAGATGAAGTAGGGACCAGAGGTTCAATGACTGTGGACGATGTCAAGTCTGAAGGACAAATCTAATTTGCATTTTAGGGAACATCCCTGTCTTGTTACTTACCCTTACACTTACATCTTAGCAATGCTCATAAATATGTTGGCAAATCTCTATTAATCATAAGTGAAATATTGTTCCAGCCTCATTTTTAATCGCTTATCCCTCATTCGAACTCCAAAGACCTGGCCCTTCCTTCTATGCCTGAGAAAGAAGGCACAGCCCTAGCCTTTGCAGGTATTATTCTCTTCACTTACAATGGTCTGTCCACACAAGCTTGGTCTCTTGTCATTTAGGTTTCATAAACAAAATCACAGTTCATAAGCGGTCGACATGTTAATGAGCGAACAGGTCGTTAATTATAAATAAAACTTACTAATTTCACTTTACCCTTTCTGCCCTTAAACTTTTCACAGGGATGTAGCGAAAACTGATAGCTTTAAAACCCATCTGTTTCTTTCCATAAGCAGAAGTAATTTTAAGTGGAAATAAAATGACTACAGAAGCTGGAAAGTTTTAAAGAAGCCTGTTTAATCCTTAAATCCTTCAATACACGAGTGTGGCTCATTCAAGTTCCACTTTTCAACAACAGAAACCTGCGGAGGCGGAAGCATTTCCCCCTATTGCTAACTCCCAGTTACCGCTAAAAATTCTTAGGGGGTGAAAAAAAGGACTTTAAAAAACATACCCGCTACCCAGTTCCGCAACAACACTATCCAAAGTTCCCCTGGGCCAAAGAAAACTGGGAAAACAACCAGACCGAAGTGCTGGTCTCCCCACTCGTTTACTTCAAGGAAGTGGAGGCCGAACCTAAGCCTGGCAGAAGACGCCCCTCCCAATCACCTTCCCTCACCTCTCTGTAAATCCAACTTGGTTTCGCGTACGTAGTTGTCCGGATTCCGGCTCAGCATCTTCACTTTCATCTTGGCGGCTCTACCTCCCGGACTCCACGAGCCTCTCAGTCCGGTCAGTATCTCCGCCTCCTCCCGCACACTCCACTTCCGCCTCTCGCAGACTACTTCCTGTCACGTGATACCACCTCGAGTCAGCCAGCGGGGCTCAGCTGGATCCCACGGCGCTCCGTAGTAGTGTCCGCAAAGGTTGGCAAGGGGCGGTTCTTGAGCTGTTGTTTTCGTCCACGTCCTTTGGCTCAAGCATGCTGCTTCAGCCGGGGAGGTAGGGCGGGCACTAGGTGGAGGCGTGCAACCCGCCTCCGTCACGCCCTCCACCGGCTTGACGTGTGGCCGTGCCCCCTCACGCCCCTCCGCACTAAGGTCTCCAGGCTCGGTTCCGCTACCCGGCGGTCGGAGCTTTTTCGCCAGTCCCGGAAGTGGGCTCGTGCCCTACGGTTCCTGCTCCTGGGCGGCGACCGTCGCCACAGTGGCGGCCACTGCATCTCGTTCCACCTCCGCGGCCCTGGGCGCCGTGATTTCGTCGGGCCCCGAGCCTATGAACGGTCAGGGCCAGTCGGCGTCCGGGTCGTCGGCGTGGAGCACGGTATTCCGCCACGTCCGGTATGAGAACCTGGTAGCTGGTGTGAGTGGCGGGGTCTTGTCTAACCTCGCGCTGCACCCGCTCGACCTCGTGAAGATCCGCTTCGCCGGTAAGAGCCCGCCTAGACACCGGGGTCCTTCTCGCTGCAAGCACGAGCTGAGTGGTGGAAACTCAAAAAGGGGCCGTGACCTCTCCCTTGTTTCTTCTGTACTGCGAGGAGGAGAGCTTTGAAGAAGATGCTTTTTACGCTGCCTCATCTGGAACTGGATTTGAGAAAGCAGGGCCTGGCCTCTCTTTCCCGCTCCCCGAGGAAAGGGATGGGGAATGTGGGCAAAGTGTGTGTGGGGGTGAGGAAATGGGCTTGTGACAGTTTAGGACTTGGCTGTCACATGGCGAATCATTCACTCTAGGAGGTACTTCGAAATCATAGGTCAGCCACGTGTTTGGAAGCAGAATGGAAAGTACCAGGTGCTTGGGGTAGAGTTTGGGATAGAATTATCTTCAAAGTTTCTTTGATTTTTGATGTGTACAGTGTGTTACAGTGTCCTTTGAACGAAAAAATAGCCAGATCTAGATATTCTTTTGTTTAAGTGAATATGTATTAGGATAACTGGCGCAAATATCCTGGACACACATCTCTGAGTTCAAGCAAAGAATATCTGCCAGGCTGCCCTGTGCAAGGCGCAGCAGCCTGCTGAAAAAAACTTCTAAACTATTATAGTCAGGTACAATGGAGTAGTTAAAAAATAACGTGTGGTCCTGTGATTGTTATTTGGCGCCTTTGCTGTGGTTTGGGTAGTCATTGAGGGTGGGCCTAACAGGAAGATCATGCCTGGCAGGGTAGGTGCTGATTTTCAAAATGGAGTTGCTCTTGAATTATTAGCAGTTTAGAAGTTAAACTCAACACTAAATTCTGTAAAAGATAGTTTCAAAATAAACTTTGGTAACTTCATTTGGAACCTGTTTTCTTTTATTTCAGTTATTAATACAAGTTAAATCCTGCCCTGAGCATTCGATTTGCAATTTTGATTTATCTTACAGTAATACTAGGTATTTTATTTACTTTACTTCTTATGTATCTCTTAATTACAAAAGTGTTTTATAAAGTTCTTGACTTCAGGGAACTTAGTATCTAATTGTAAGACTTCAGACTTAGTAGTAATGTTAGATAATTATAGACAACAAAAATCAAGGGCATAGTAGAATAAATCAAAATACAACATAGGAATACAGATAGGCTATAAGAAAAATCATAATTGCTGATGGCCATATGCATCTGTAAAGGTTCCATGCAAGACTGGATCTTGAGGTTCTCCATAGGAGAATTAATACTTTGGCAGAAAGAAGACGCTAAGCAATTTGATGAAGGAAAACCGGTGAAAATTATGGAGTGTTACCTTTAGAAAAGACACTACAAATGGATAATTTCATGGAGTTTCTGATGCTTATACAGATAATTACGATTATTATTAATAGCTAATCTTCATTGAGCATATTTGCTAGGAGCATTTCCTAGAAGAAAGGCAATGAATTAAGAGCTTTAGAAACATTCTTTGTTGGTTGGTTTGTTTTGGTACTGGGAATTGGAGGAACTTGGGGGCACTTAACTGCTGAGCCACATCCCCAACCCTATTTTGTATTTTATTTAGAGACAGGATCTCAGATCTTCCTGCCTCAATCTGGCAAACCACTGGGATTATAGGCATGTGTGCCACCATGCCTACCTGAGCTTTAGATACATTCTTGTTCCCTATCCTGTGAGTTTATTATCCTCTTATACAGGTGGAGGATAACTGAAATTGACTTAACTTGCCCACGTCACAGAATGTAAAGGATCTGGAATTTGAACCCATGGAGTCCAACTATGGAACCCTCTGGCACTTAACTACTTTATGAATCCCAGTATACAGTGGCTTGAACGTGAATAAAAGAATTTGGGCTTGGCTGCAGGTGTGGGCCTGTATAACTTGATGTCTTTTTTCAGCAACTTTGTTTAGGAGCAGAAAAGGTGGCAATTGTGATGATCATTTGAGAAATAGTATTGTTGGTTGATGAATTTAAGACAATGCTGTGAAGCAGACTATACCTGAGAGAAGAAAATTCTTGGTATCTTGAGAAGATGGTAATCTTGATGAAGTGGGAGAGTAGTGGAAAACTAGTAGCGTTTTGGTTATTACATATAGGGTATTGAGAGGAATAATAAAGCCCACAGAGTGGCTTTGATATAATAGAAAAGAGGAAAATTTAGATGAGTAATGGAGCTACAGCATCTGGTCATCAGAATCAATGCTCTAACCCATGGTTTTTATTCTTTCGTATAACTAAAACCATTTAATAAAATTAATGTCTGAAAAAATAAAATAAAATAAAGTTAATATTTGATGATGGGAGTTTAGTCCTGAATGTATGTACTACTAAACCAAACCTGGAATTTTTTTATGAGTTCTGAATGTGAATTGAAATTTCAAGATATCCAAAGTCAGAAAGATTGGAAATCATTTCATGTGAGAAAACTGAAGAAACTAGGTTAGCTTGGAATGGGGAAAATCTTTAAGATAGAGAACTTCCATGGGGGAGAGAGCTGCCTCTTGGGTTGATCCTAAGGTCAGACATAAGTTGAGTGGAAATTATAGGGAAGCAGATTTTGGCTTGACAACATTATGGTGTTATGAAATAAAACTGGTGATGACTAGAAGTGGTTCAGACAGAGGTTAGAAGATATTTTTGTGTTGGGTGTAAGGATTGGGTTAGGTGATCTTTGAGATCTGTTCTAACTTCATGAAATAATTTTTAAGGTTTCAAAAATGGCAGGAACCCCAGCAAATAAGAATGTGTAAAAATAGTAATTTCCTAAAATAACCCCATTTGTAAAGATTTGTGAGGTTTTTTAGGGGAAAGTAGGAAGAAAGGAGAATATGACTAAATCTGTAATACTAATCAAGAAACCATAGTGTACAGTAATAAGACTAGCACATGGCAAAGTTTTGTGGTATTGAAAGAACCAGTGGCATAAATAAACTAATATTTTTAGTACTTGCAGTTTTCTAGACATGTTTCCAGGTGCTTTAAATGTTTGTTTGGCTTGTAATCCCAGTGGTTTGGGAGGCTGAGGCAGGAGGATCAGGAGTTTAAAGCCAGCCTCAGCAAAAGTGAGGCATTAAGCAACTCAGTGAGACCCTGTCTGTAAATAAAATACAAAAAAAAAAAAAAAAGGCTGGGGTTATGGCTCATTGGTTAAGCACCACTGGGTTCAATCTGCGGTACCCAAAAAAAAAAGTTTGGGGTGTCTGTTAACAGTGCTAGGACTTGAATCCAGGGCTTTGCACATGCTAGGCAAGCATGTACAACTGAGCTATATCCCTAGCTCCAATGTCCATATATTAACTCATTAATACTGACTCATTTAATTGGTGTTAACTCATTTAGAGTTTATTTTGGGGTTTTCCCCCCTCATATTATGAATGAGAAAGCTCAGATACAAGAGTAATCACATGACTTACTCAGGGTCACACAATAATTGTTAACAATTAGGATTCAATCCTAGGAAGTCTGATTCAATAACATGTGTTATTAGTCTGAAGCTCTGAGTGCATAGTTTGGTATAGTGGAAGGGAAAATATAAATGCTAGAAACGAAAGTAAAAAAGTAATTCCAGAAAGTTAAGCCATGTAAAAACAGTATCTAGGGCTGGATGTTAGGAAAGAGATCAGGATAGTGATCAAGAAAGTGGAACACAGGGATAGCAGTGAATTTACTTAGTTGAGAGTAGAAAGAGCGCCTATAAAAACTAACATTTAAGGATGGGCAGAGGAAAAGGAGGCCAGGAAAATTTAGTGGCAAAGAAGAGGAAAATCAGGAGGATGTGGGATGAGGCAAGCCAACACAAAGAGGTGTTTTAGAAGATAAACAATATCAGCTGCCACTAAGGAGTTCTTAAGGAAGAGAGGACTCCCAAAGTGCACTTGGAGGTCCTTAACTAGAGCCCTTGAAGTAATAGGTAAAGCCCAGACTAGATTGCTATGGAGGTGAGAAAGTTGGATTGTTGTTTTCTCATTTGTAGCAGCTTAACTGATACGGAGGCAGTGAGATCAAATACGAGGCAACTCAAGAGAGATTTAAGCCTGTTTAAATTCTGATGGTTTAAAAAAAGGAAGGGAGATATTGAAGATGGAGACAGGGAGATAATGAGTGAGGTTTCTTTTAATTTTTTTTTTTAAAGAGAAAGAGAGAGAGGATTTTTAATATTTATTTATTTTTTTTAGTTCCCTGCGGACACAACATCTTTGTTTGTATGTGGTGCTGATCATCGAACCCGGGCCGCACGCATGCCAGGCGAGCACGCCACTGCTTGAGCCACATCCCCAGCCCAATTGTTGTTGTTTTTTTTTTTTATTGGTGCATTGTAATTATACATAATAGTGGAATTAGTTGTTACTTACTTGTATATACACACAATTTAACAGTATAATTTAGTTAGTTTTGTTCCCCAGTGGGGTCCAAAGTGGCTTCTAGGCAGCCTCTTTCCTGAGCTATATCTCCAGCCAACATTTTGCACTCTTTGACCACAACTCTTAGTAGTAAATAAATTTTACCATTGCTATCCAATAGTATATATTCAGTGTATACTTACACTGAAACACAAGTCTAGTGGTTGTTCTTTGTCATGCTTATTACACACAGTAAAGTAGAAGCAAGGGTACATTGAACTGGGCATGCTTATTTGTGGCTAATAAACTGTAAACTCTTTGGAGGGCAATTTCAATATGTATTTATAACATATCATTTCCCCCTTCCCCTTTTTGTGTATTTGGGTTGAACTCAGGGGTGCTCTACCACGAGTTACAATCATAGCCCTTTTTATTTTTTATTTTGAGACTGGCCTTGAACTTGGGATCCTCCTGACTCGGCCTCCTAAATTGCTGGGATTACAGGTATCCTGGGATTATACCCACGCCTGGCCATATCAATTCCCCTTCTAATAGTTAATTTTAAAGAAATAAGAATCGTACAAGCCAGGTGCAGTGGCACACACCTGTAATCTCAGCAGCTCGGGAGGCTGAGGCAGGAGGATTGAGAGTTCAAAGCCAGCCTCAGCAAAAAGTGAGTGCTAGGCAACTCAATGAGACCCTGTCTCTAAATAAAATACAAAATAGGTCTGGGGATGTGGCTCAGTGGTCAAATGCCCCTGAGTTCAATCCTTAGTACAAAAAAAAAAAAGAAGAATCCATACAAACTGTTATACAAGATATTCTTTAGAGAACTTTTTGTAATAGAAAAAGAAAATTAACATGTAAAATTGGGGAATGATAGTTTAAATGATAGAATGTCTGTGAAATGGAAAACTATCACATTTTTTTAAAGTCTTATTTTTGGAATCTACTTAAAAGCAAGGGGGAATGTTTCTATATTCTCTTTGAGTAGGGAAAAAGCAGTATAAAAAACTACAGGTAGGTGTTCGGGCAACATGCCTGTAATCCCAGTGACTCAGGAAGATTATTTAATAGCCAATCTGATGCTTCCTAAAATATTACTTGGGTGCTTAGTATGTGCTCAATAAATACTTTGATAAATTTATTAACCTTAATTTTAAAGTATAGAACATCCTAGGAAATACTTTTTTCCTTCCTAATAAGGGGTTTTCTTCTGAATTTTTTCTTTATATAGCTAATTTATGAATCTATGTTTATATGTGATTCTGAACTAGAATTTTTGTGTATCCTTTAATGCAGTGAGTGATGGATTGGAACTGAGACCAAAATATAAAGGAATTTTACATTGCTTGACTACCATTTGGAAACTTGATGGACTTCGGGGACTTTATCAAGGAGCAACTCCAAATGTTTGGGGTGCAGGTTTATCCTGGGGACTCTACTTTTTCTTGTGAGTAGATCTGGGAGATTTCACAGTATTAAATAAAAAGGAATTTTTGTTTTGGTGGCTTTTATACTGGTTAATGAAGAAAGATGAGTCATTGAGTCAGTTCTGGAAATTAGAAGGATTAGAGAGCAAATGGCTTATTAGTTTCCTTTGCTTTTAGCTATTATAATCAGAAGCATTTGGTCTAGAAGAGAGTTTGTAAAGGAAAGGATGAAGAAATGAAATGGGAAACCCTTACAGAAGCCATTTTTATGAATTCAGGAGGGCAAGATGTTTAACTGATTTCTTTTATAAGCAGAATACTCACAGATTAGAAGAGAACTTTTTATCTTAGTTAAGGCCATTTGAAAAACATCTAATTTGGACAATTCAAAATGAAGTTTTAAGACACCCTCAGAATTTCTGAGGTGTTTGGGCCATATCAGGACTCTTGAGCATTTCTAACAGCCAAAATAGACTAGAAAAAGTTGAATATACCTACTTATTATTTATTAGTAGTTTTGCAAAGTATTGCAGAGATTGGAGGAACCTGGAACTCTTGTCTAAAATGAATCATGAATTTCAGTTCTCTTTGGTATTTATTTTTTATAAAAGAAGATAACTTTTTTTCCCTCCACTTATACAAGATTAAAAAATTTTATAAATACTAAAATAGAATATTTTATAAATACTAAAAAGTATCCTGAGATCATTGCTTATTTATGCTCAGACAGATTCTTGAAATATTTGAGATGACTTACAGAAATGTATTTGATTTGCTGGGTGTGGTAGCTCATATCTATAATCCCAATGACTCTGGAGGCTGAGGAAAGAGGATGGCAAGTTTGAGACCAATCTCAGCAATTTAGCAAGACTCTGTCTAAGAAAAAAAATGGGGTAAAGCACCCTGGGTACTTTACCTCACTAAAGTATCAAAGAAAGAAAGAAACCCAGAAATGCATTTTGATTCATAATGAACTTGGAAAGACAAGAAAAGGCAGATTTGGAGTCCTTAAAAACATATAACTTAAGAGCCTGATTGAGAAAAGAAAGTAAGAGCTAAAAGGTTTTGAAGCATATCACTTTATACTCTTATATGACCTGCTCCATCTTCCCAGCATGTTCATTTTCATTTTCTTACTCCTTCACCAGTCAGATAGCATCACTATTAGAAATAACTTCTATTGCATGCCTTCTGAAGAAACCACAGAAAGAGCCTATGGCAGGCATATTCATCTTGTTGAGTGTATAAGAAGGATGCAGCAACATGGCACTGCTGTGGAGAAGCACATGTTGCTGAGAGCTTGCCTCTGATATTTGAGACTGAATCCACGAATGAGAAAGCTTTTCTTTCTTTTAACAGAGGACATTTTTAGGAAAACATCAACACTTGTGTCTTTCCCTTTTTCTCCTTTGTGTTATATATTGTACTTAATCTCATAAGTTAATGGCAGTATCCAAACCAATCTTAAAATAAATTTTTAAAGTGAAAACAAACTAAAATTCAGCCTTTGTTTTGTTTAAAAGTTTTCCGTATTTTCACCCCAAAGACATATTCAGGTAAACTGTAAGGATATATGCACACATATATGTTTGGGCTTGTTTTTATTTTATAATACTGGGGATTGAGCCTGGGTGCTCTGCCACTGACCTACATCCCTAGCCTTTTTAAGTTTTTACTTTGAGACAGGATCTCTCTAAGTTTCCCAGGCTGGCTCTGAATTTGTGATCCTCTTGCCTGAGCCTCCCAAGTATCTGGGATTACAGGTATTGTGCCACCATGCCCGGAAAGAATACTTTATGAATTTGATTTCTGTATATTGTCCAAGAGAGTTTCTAAGAACAAGCCATATGAGTTAGCTTTATGTGATGAGAATTGCTTATAATAAAAGTTTGTTTCATGTTAGAATTGTGTTGGGAAAACCTGAAAATATTGATTCAACTGAATCCTTCTCAGAGGAAAGTAAAATTTGTGTTTAGAAAAAACAGGCCTGATTTGACTCCCCTGCAATGAAATGTTTAGTGACTGTTTTCTGCCAGATAAAACCCAAATTTCTATTACTCGATTGAGGTTCAGTTTTTACTATCTTACCATCTACTTTATTATTACTGTCACTTTTCCCCATGCTCATCTCTTTCCTTATTGGAACTGTGCCCATCTCAATACACAGCTCAGTGCCACCTCCAACATAAAGCCTTCTGTGATCTCATAGTTTCTGGATCTCTTATTTTGCTGTGTCTTTTCTTATGATTATCATTTTATTATGTCTTTTACTATGTTTATTTGTATGCCACTTATGATTCTTGTTAATCTATTAAGAAAGATCTATATTTGATGTTTATCTGTCAGAAAGCAAAGGAAATTCCTAAACATAGATGCTTAGCACACATATTTGTTAAGCACAAATTGGACTCTCCTTTGCCTTTTCTTCCCAGTCTCTGCATCACAGTTACATCTTTCCATACTCCCCATTTTCTTGTTCTTTTAAATTAACTGCTGAATATGTGATTAAAATATTTTACATATGTATTGCCAGCCATATATATTTGTTGGGGAGAGGTGGTGTCATCCTATAGTAAACCATTTCTGTCATGTCCATTTTTTTAAAATAAGATCTCATTTTGTGGTTGTATTTTTCATTGACTTTTACTTTGGGGATAGTGCCATTAAGTTACATATTCTTTAAAACAGATTTTACTGTTTTAAGACATCTATTTTAATTAAACTGCTCATGTTTAATTCTTTCAGTTACAATGCCATCAAATCATATAAAACAGAAGGAAGAGCTGAACGGTTAGAGGCAACAGAATACCTCATCTCAGCTGCTGAAGCTGGTAAGGCAATGTGTGAAATATAAAACATCACCTTCCAAACTTGTTTTCTATTTTTATTTTTTGTCTTTTTTCTTTGGACACCAGAATTTAAGTAAATTTATCTAAGTATATTAATTAGTTATCATATAATATTTCTTAGGATTGTCCTTATTGATCACTCTGGATTTCAAAAATTGTACTTATCACAAAGGGTGGAAAAATGAAAAAAGTTATGAATCCCTAATAGATTAAGATCATTTGGTATATGTTTTTTTAAGTATAAGTTCAACTTTGTAAGTATTCAATTTAGTAGCCTCATTTCATCAACTTATATTTGTGTACTATCTAGAGAAGAGAACAAAGTGATTTTTAAATCTTTATAAATCCTACTTTGATAACTTGCTACCTTGGTTTCTCAATGTTTACTGATTGTTTTTTAAAGCAAGGACTGTTTCACTCATTTTTAAGAACTAGCTGCTAGCAGAGTCATAACAAGACTCAACAAATATTGGTTTAATAAAGGTCTCCTTAGAAATGTAGAAGATTAGAAACTTGCCTAGTTAGTTTTTTCTCTGTAAAAGTTGTGATTTTCGGTGAAGAATGTGAGTTTTGACTTATTGCATCACACAGTTTTTGAGGGGGAGTAGCTACTTTGAATGGGTTTGGGAAAGATTGTGATAAAAGAGTTGGACATATGTGTGTACATGCACAGATTATTGAGTTGCTGGGTTCTTGGTTTCCTTTTTACCTTCAGCCCCTTTGGTTTATACTGTCTTCTGCTCCTAAAATCTGTGTCTCCTTTCCATCTATTTTCTATACCAGGACACATTGGTTAGGAGTCAAGGCATCTTTGCTATCCCGAAGTGTTTTTCATTTCTGTCTCCCTCTTAACTTACCTCTCACTCCCACATGAGGAATTTTTTTAGAACTCTCAAAAATTATGTCTACAATTTGACCCTAAAAAGACCACATCTTGCCGTTCCAGGTACAGCTTCTAGGTAACCTCCTCCTTTACATAATGGACTGTATTTTAGTTTGAATTAAGTAGAAAAACTCCTGTATGCTGAGTAATCTTCTTTAAATTTGATTTTAGGAGCCATGACCCTCTGCATTACAAACCCATTATGGGTAACAAAAACTCGCCTTATGTTACAGTATGAAGGTGTTGTTAACTCCTCACAGCGGCAATATAAAGGAATGTTTGATGCACTTGTGAAAATATATAAGTATGAAGGTGTGCGTGGATTGTATAAGGTAATGAGTCATCAATATATATTCATAACTGAAAATTGCAGTTTCTCTTGGCTCTGTTGTTTCTCTTCTGAATGACCTGGATTCAGTCCTAAAAAGAAGCCTCCCTTAGGCAAGATACAATTGAATGAAAACTCAAATGTAACTTATAATATTGAAATTGTATTTTAAGCTATTTATTCTCTATCATCATGACACTGGTGGGTTTGAGAATTGTCTAAAACTTCGTCAGGTGTCTTTTCAGTAAGTCAGACAGCCAAGCTGGGATAACATATCTGGAGAAGAGATAAGTGAGTTTGATAGCATCTTATTTTACTGTAAATTGTGCAAACTTCAAACCTTACTTGAATTTTTTAAATAACAAAAACCTAACTCCCTTGCCTATTGTTATAATTTCAAAATATCTTACTAGTGGCATTAACATCTGTTTTCTGATTTTATAACTCCTTTTCCCCCATTTTATGCTTCTCTATCATCCACTCCCACCTGTGTCTTATTTCTATAAATTTTTCCCCCACACTTTTGGGGATTGAATACAGGGCTTCATACATGATAGGCTGGTGCTCTGCCACTAAGCTACCTACTCCTACATACCTAGCTCTTTTTTAAAAATTATAGTTTTAGACAGGGTCTCACTGTATATCAGGCTGTTCTTTAACTTGTGATTTTCCTGCCTCAAGCTCCTGATTATCTCAAGCTATAGGCATATGCCACCACACCTAGTTCCCAGAGTACTTATTTTTCAGTCATCCACAGTTTAAAATCAAAATTAGATTTATTCAATTTTAGGGTTTTTTTTTTTTTTTTAAGAATCATGTACTAGTTTTTAAAATCAATAACATGAGGTGGTTGTTATAGACTACTGACTTATAAGCAAAAGTTTTGGAAATAAATCAATTCTGTGTTTCCTCCATCACTTTTTTGCCTTATTCTTTTAGAATATCTGTACTTACTTAATTGAATTATCATTACCTTTTCTTTTTCATTTTTCCAGAATCTAACTGCCTGCTCATATCTGGTTCTTGATGGTGTGCATTGTCTTTGTGTTTATACATGTACTATTTAAAGAAGAACTAACATGAAAATCCATATTGGAGGCAGGTGGGGAGGGGCAGACAGTATTGGGGATTGAACCCAGGGGGTTTTACCACTGAGCTACATCCCAAGCCCCCCCCCACCACCCGTTTATTTTTCAGACAGAATCTTGCTAAGTTACTTAGGGCCACACTGAGTTCCTGAGACTAGCCTCAAATTTGCAATCCTCCTATCCCAACCTCCCAATTTACTGGAATTACAGGCCTATGCCACTAGGCTGGGCAAAAATCCAAATCTTAAATTAATAAATAAAGTAAAAGAATAGTATTTTAACCTTATATAAAATTTTGCTTAAAGTACTACACTTAAAAGGAGAGAGAATATATTTGACTTAAATGTATCTTTCTTTGAAAGTTGTTTAGTTTTTGCTCTTTTTTAATTGTTCCCTTTTAGGGATTTATTCCTGGGCTGTTTGGAACATCACATGGTGCCCTTCAGTTTATGGCATATGAATTGCTAAAGTTGAAATATAACCAGCATATCAAT